CCACAATGACTACATACGTACTGATGAGCCCAAAATTTTATGGTGGGTCTAGGCCTCCCCTACATTTGGGACCGCTAAAAGAAGGGCCACCTAATTAGGACCATCTCTTGAAAATCTTAATTTGTGTTACTACTTTAGGGTAAAGAATTGTACCATATGTCTATCAGTTTTCAACCCTAAATTAATATCATAAAGCTGCACACCATGTCATATACATACCATCTTGTATATCTTTGTGTGAGTTTTCCTCCGCCCCTTTTTTATATTTACGAAAAAATAATAATATTGTATTGTAATATGCATCACATGTTACACCACCCTAAATAACAATCTAATTAATCACTCCTAGATGTTTAATTTAGACCCATTTTCCAAAAAAATATTTTCTTTTCTTCTTTTTAGAGTGTAGGAATGAAAAAAGAAAAAGAAAAAAGAGGAATTAAATTGTTGAAGTAAATAATCTAGCGTTTGGTAGATTCTAATTAAAACTAGCTGCATGCACATTAGTAAACGTGGGGCAATCATCATGGCGTTTTAATGAATGATTTGGCAGACGTTTAGACATTCCCACTTTAATTGAACATGAGATGCCCACCATATACGTGCTAAGGTCCGGTAAAAGCGAATGCCTATTGGGTCTCTTGCTAAATTATATATACAAGATAATTATGGGGCCCTACGGCTCCTACCTATATTACCAAATATTTTGGGAATAATATTAATGAAGAGGTCATGGCCAATTTCTAGGGTTTTTTCTTTTCGTTTACATTTATTTTAGTTGTTAATAGTTGACATATACACTTAAGAATTAGACTCTATCTACACACAAAAAACCAAAGGAGATAAGGTTGGTGAGGGCTGATGATTAGGAAGGTACAACTATTTCAGTGACATGGACTTACCATTCAACATGTCCCCCTGTTAAAAGAGGTGGACAAATAGTCATAACTTCTAATCGGCTATGATCAGCAATGGACCTATTAAGGCGTATGGAGGTGCAGCTGCACCTCCCTTCGCTAGAAAAACCATTGTAGATGCTTCAAATTGCCCCTTTAACTCAACTTTTCAACATTTAAGTAAATATCTTTGTCCTTTTACTTTCATTTATTTTTATATTACTCAATTTACTTAGGTTCACAATGTAAATAAAGAAGTACACCCCATTTGAATTAAAATAAAAATATTAGAAAATCAGATTCCCACCAAATCAAAATATGAAATATCGATTTTAGTGCAAAATATGATTTAGGCTAAAAATGATGGCTCATTAAGTCAATATATACTTATCAAGTTTTCTTATTTGATGTGTAAGGAATAAAAGCCGCCAAAAATTATCTTGAGAAAAAGATTATTCCGAAAAACCCTTTTTCATACTTAGTCAATATTTTTACATAAAACAATTTTTCATGTATGATATGAATGTATGAAGTGACCTAAGGTCAATCTAGGTAAAAAAAAACCTTAGATGTTCATCCACAGAGTTTTTAGCCTTTCAAAATTGCACATCAGTTAAAGAATTCCTAGGTCCGTCAGTGGCTATGATTATAAAAGAGTGATGATTTTCACACTCGCATTTGTTTACTCAATTACCAAAACACAAAAATAACAGGGACGGAATTGCAATATTGCAAATCTGCCACCCTAATAAAATAAACTAAGAACAGCGAAGGTTCCACCGCAGACATCAAAATTAGAATGGTTAGTGAGGCTTGATCTATTTGTAAGTTATAAAAATGTTGGTTACATTACATGCATGAAAAGCAAAACATATTTAATGCTTTGATTAAGAAAATGATTCGTTAAATTGTGAGAAATTTCTTGAGACAAGTTTTGCTTTTCGCCCGACAAAAAAAGTTTACAGAATGATGCTGGATGAGTAGGTGGATCGATCGAGCTCAGCGCATGAGACTGGGAGAGACTGAGAGACTGAAAGACTCAGAGGCATGCTTGCTCGAATAGCCATGCACATGTATAAATATAGATGAATTCTGAAGCGCACGCTCACGTGCCTCTGCTAATAAAAAATGCAAATGAATCATTGAGGCCATGTACCTAATCTTGATTTTCCGATCATGTCCTATTATATATATCATGCATGTTTATAATAATATTATATATTTATAAAACTATATAGTACTTATAATATATGTCACAGTGCATCGGAAATGTCTCACAAAGTCTACTTTTGATGCTGTTCTTATGATGCCTTCAAAGAATGGATGGTTACTTTTATGTTGTCTTTAATTTCCTGCTGTCCATCAAGTGAGAATGAATGGTTTTATTGGTGGGTTCTGATTTTTTTTTTTCCAGGCTTATTTACTGTTTTTCCTTTTGTGCTTCGCTTAGAATCTCAAATTTTCTTTTGAATTTGCAACCGGGTCAATGTGTTCATGTCACGTGAGCAAATTAACAATTTTTCTTTGAAGCTTGATGGAATAGGAGAACATTGATCCAATTACAAGTTCATAAGGGGAAGTCGAGATTTGAAGCAAAGCACAAAGGGGAAAACAATGAATAAACCTTTTGTTTAATTTTGTTTGTTTGTTTATTTAGTTATTTCTAAACAAATGTTGTGATGCAATATGTTTTGAAGTGACTAATTGTTCTTATCAGTACTTATTAGCTAGATGTGGTCTTAATTGTGAATAATTAGTATAAAGTTTGATTGATGCATTTCTATATTATAGCCCACATTTTAGTTCATGATATGTCATTTTCTTCCATAACCAAAGGTTTTTAATTGATTTATTATTCATTAAAATTTTCATCAATCACAATATGTTCCTTATGCACATTGAATACTTGCTTGAATTTGAAGCAAGGAACATTAATTTCATAACATTATTTGGATTAATCACGTATTTCTACTTGATTTTAGCAATTAATAAATTCATCATTGAAGTAGTTTGCGGAGTACGTTGGTGGTTTTATTTGGTCTCTTGTCTCTATGTTCCCGATGCCTCTAACAATAATTTGGATTTAACTACATTGGATATATTATATATATATACAAAAAAATTCTCCTATGTGGATATCCAAACGATAATAACGTGCAGACATACAGATAAGATAAAATATATATATTACAATAAGAAGAAAAAAGAGAGAGAAGAGTCATTGAATGAGAGCATTTTTGCTCGCTATTTGTGGGGAGGATTATCACCACGTTATTTGTTGCTGGATATACTATACGAATTCAAAAATTATACTCATCTAACGACAATAAACATGGTGATAATGTTCAAAACTAACTAAAGGGTGATGAACAAAAATATTCTTATGATTAAAATGGATTGTGTGGGCGTGCTTATCTATTTTGCATGAACAGCTTTTACTCACTAATGTTTTTGTTACTCGTCAGTAAATCGTTTTTATTAAAGTAAATATGAAAAAAAAAACTCATTAAAAATCCAAGTACTTGGCGCACATTAATTTTTAAGCATTTTTTGGCGGGACAAATTAAAGTCAGGAATGTGAATATCATGCAAAGTAGTTGTTATAAAAATATTACAATTCACAGTGTATATATGATTATTTGAATAAAATAAAAAATCTTCAGTAATGACAAAGAAAATAAATTTTCTGCAAAATGAGGTGTGAATGAAGATGTGCTTTGTCTAGTATGATGGGGAAGTTAACAACTGGCTTTCTCCATCATTAATTTCCACGTTTGCTTTTGCTTACTTCAAAAGGCATTTAGCTAAAGTCCATTTATTGTGCAATCAATAAATCTTTCAGTACATTAGCCTATATAAATAAATCTTTCGGTACCGAATGATATGTTTCTCATTATGAGTAGTTTAGATTAAGAAATTGATGTTTATGGTCCCCCATAGCTGGTAACTTGGCACTTACATTTGCAGAGGAGGTTAAGTACTTTTTAGTTGTCATCACAAGTGCAGGACAACTTTTCTCAAGTAAATATGTCTAAGATTTACAAATAGAGGGCTCTTGTCCATGAAAATCGATTGTGAGATTGTCAATTTGGACCATACACTGTTGAGAGACTTATCAATATTAACTTGATGAACCCACTCAATAGTAAATATGCGTATGAAAATCGGCTACGAGACTCTCGATTTAGACCAAACATCATTCAGTATTATACTATTACCTTGTTGAATCTACCCATTATTGTTATTATCTTGTTGAATTTACATAACAGTAAATACGTGTATATGAAAATTGGTTGCGAAAATGTGAATTTGAACCATACATCATTAAAAATTATTAATTTTAACCTTGTAGAACCTACCCAGTATTGAAAATATAATATTTTTATGTTTAAAAATGTTTGCTCCCATATATTCTACCTCCAAATTGCAATATGCCCTTTTATAATCATAATTATTCTAAAATGATATGGTAAATGAAAGGAAATATCATTCATAAACATCCTATTAGGAGACAGGTTTTGAAACTGCCATGGGAGATTCATTAATTCATACAATTAGTTGTAAATTGTAAATCAATTAAATAAAACCAGCGCACTTGGTTAAAGAATTAAGTGCAGAAAGGAATCCAAAGAGAGAGGATGCAAAAAGGAACCCCCAATATAAAAGAGAAAAAAAGGTAAAAAGAAGATTGGTTGGTATTGAATTATGATAAGTAGTAGAAGGATTCGAAAGAGGGAATGTGAGTGCTGTGCATGTTAATTCATAATGAGAGAATTGCGTTGTCACACACAAAAGGGATAAAAGTTGCAACTTGCACCACTCAATCACATTCCTGCTTCTCTTGCCAGGTCACTCTCTCTCTCTCTCTCTCTCTCTCTCTCTCACTTGGGTTTGAGAGCAGAGTCACACCAAGTAGTAAGTACAAGAAGAAGAAGCACTAAGGAGTAGGAGGAGAGAGGGTGTGTGTTTTTAGTGCATGTCTCTCTCTCTCTGACTTTCATGTTTGTTAGTTTAATGTTTGTTTAAAGAAAGATTGAACAAATAATAATTAGTAGCTAATAATATATATACATTGTTGCAATTAAAACTTTGGCTTGGCCTTGGCCTTGATTGTTGTTTGCAATATAATAATAGCAGAAAACACAACTGCACAGTGGGGTTCTTTGTCCATCTGCTACGCTTTTCTTGGATGACGCTTCAAGCTCGAAACCTCGTCGTTTTCTGCTTCCTCCTGAGCTCCTGTGGGACTTTTGCTGCTTTCTTTCACTTCACTCTGTTTGAGATATAAACAACAACAACAAAGCCAGCCATTTTTCTTTCTGGGTCTTCCACATTTCAACTTTCCCGCTCTCTAAACTATATGAAATAATCTCTCTCTCTCTCTCTCTCTCTCTGAAGGGTGGGTTGGCTTGGTCTCGTCTTTTTACTTCTTTGACCATTGATTTTTTTTTATTTCATTCTTTTTCCAAGGCCTTGTTTTCTTGAGCTCATTCTCATATACAACTATGGTATTGATTTGTTCTCTGTTCTTCTTTTCAGGATGCATTAAATTTGCATCAAAGTGAAACGAGATGAATAGCAGAGTACGCACTAATCTTCAGAGCATGAAAGCTGCTCTAAATAATGATAAAGTGAGTTGTTTGTTTCTTTCTTTTTTGCAATTCCAGCTCTTTCTTTAAAGCTGAGAGGTCTTATCAGTGACAAATTCCGAGATGAGTGTGTTGGTTTCTCAAGAAAAAGAAAGAAAAAAAAGGAGATTAAGGTTCTATCTTCTAGAGCTTTAAAATGAATTTTTGTCTATGGGCATAGGCAATCTGAAATGGGTTTTCAAATTTACTCGAAAAAGAAAGGCTTTTAATTTCTGAACTATTCCATTTTTGCATTTATTTTCATACGTATAGAACATTAAATATTCTTTACTTCCAAACTATATTCTTTCCAATTATGTTAATCTCCTACTGGAAGTGTGAAAAGTGAGGCACTTTTGATCCAAATCCAAACTGGGTTCTTTCTTTAACTTCTCTCAAGAAAAGAATAGTTTTTGTTTCTTTTTTCTCAGACACACTGATCCCTTTTTAGTTTATAACATTGTTATTTTAATGTTGAATTTACGAAGAGGGAGAAGAAGATGGAGACTCAGAAGAACAGAATAATGGGTACAGAGAGAACGTCAATCAATCGGCGTAGATCAAACAGAGAAAGAAAAATGGCCTTGCTACAAGATGTACTCTTCCACTTACTACTGCACATGTCAAGTAGTTTTAGATTTTTCTGTTAAAAAAAATGGATTTTTTGTTGTTGTTGAATATAATTCGTTGACTTATTGGTGTCCTTTGAAATTTACAGGTTGATAAACTGAAGAAGAAGCTCAGACATGAAGAAAATGTCCACAGAGCATTGGAAAGGGCTTTTACAAGACCATTAGGAGCTTTACCTCGTCTTCCTCCTTATCTCCCTCCACATGTTAGTACAATTTACCATTTCTCTCTCTCTCTCTCTCACATTGAATAGAAGAGAAACCCCAGATGAAGCCTTTGCCAAACATTAAAAATTGATGAAGAATGTACTTCAGTTTGTTGTGATATACAGTGATGTTAACTGGGATACTATTTGTTTCAGACATTAGAACTTCTGGCTGAAGTAGCTGTTTTAGAAGAGGAGGTTGTTCGGCTTGAAGAACAGGTTGTTAATTTTAGACAAGGTCTTTATCAGCAAGCTGTCTATCTATCCACCAAGAGGAATGTGGAAACTTTGAATGATTCAAGTGAGCAGACCCCAATTAGAAGTGCTAAACATCAGAGATCAAAATCTTTGTCACATAATGAGTTCATATCAGCAACATCAACCTCCAGGCTTCAACCTTCTCTTTCTCGAAGTGTTTCTAGCAGAAGGCTACCGTCTACTGATATTGTCTCTGATCGAACGACCGGGAATTGTTCTAGTAGGCAAGTCAGTGGAAAACAAATTTCCAGGAAACCCAATTGTTTGTCACCTCTTTCAGAAGATGGGAAAGGAAAAGAAAATCGATTGTGTTCTAATGCAGCTAGGGATAAGCAATCTCCCGACAAGAAAACTACCAAGGCTGTAACCCCAGTGAAAAAGCTTCCCAGCAAACATGAATCCATGGTCAAGTGTTTGGACCCTTTGAAGTTAGAGGTATGCCAATGCCACTGAAAGTTTGCACTTAGATTCAATTTGTGACATTTTGTGGTTGTTATTTATTTGTGCCTTTGAATTTGTTCAGCTAGAGTGCAGATTAGTAGACCAGGAAAGAGCACATGAGAGTTCGTCTGGTTCTTCAGATGATAAGGTATCGGAAGCCGATAACACTCCTAATAAAGTGTCCGAGGATATTGTGAAGTGTTTGTCTAGCATTTTTGTGAGGATGAGCAGTTTGAAGGACAAAGTAGAGGAATTGGAGACTTCTAGATCAACATTATCTGCTCATGCAGCAAATGGAGAGACAGGGTTTCGAGATCCTTATGGCATTTGCTTAGAATTCAGAAATATAGACGTTGGTCTCTATAAAAATCTCCGGTCAATTGATATTGGTTCAATTGATCTCAACAGAACAACAAGCGCATTGATTCTGATGCACAGATTAAAGTGAGTTTTTAGTCTGTCTGTTCTTGGTCTTCTCTTGATTATTCTGCTTGAGATTGTATTCAATTTCTCCTTTTGAAAATATCCAGGTTCCTACTTGGAAAGCTTTCCTCTGTGAACCTAGAGGGTCTTAACCATCAGCAGAAGCTTGCATTTTGGATTAACACTTATAATTCCTGCATGATGAAGGTAATAAGATGTCTCTCTATCAAGAAATTGAAAATCAAAGAGCAAAGAATTAGAATGTCCCAACTGCAAGTTTATCAAAAAAAATTCCAAGACTTTGGGACATTGTATTTTGAAAATCAGAGTTTTGCCTTTACCTGGTATAGCTAAATCAAATTCAACATTCTCAAAACAGTTTTTATAATGTTGCAGGCATTTTTAGAGCATGGCATACCTGAGACTCCTGAAATGGTTGTAGCACTAATGCAAAAGGTAAGATCAATCAATCATTTATGTCTGCCGAGCACATTGGCATGCATGCACACATGAACACACATTACATATGAAATTTTTGTACTCCATTATGTAATGTTCTGTTTCTGTTATTAGTGTCAACTCACAGAAAATCATTTTGTATATTGAATTTAGCTCTCTTTGCATCAGGCAACGATAGATGTTGGGGGACACTCCCTGAACGCAATTACAATTGAGCATTTCATTTTGAGATTGCCTTATCACTTAAAATTTGTAAGTATGTTCACCCTAAACTTGATTAGGCTCTTAGGCAAGAGTTCACTGACGTTTTCTTGAGTGACTTGAGTTATTGTGTATGGCATGCCAATTAAGTTTCACATTTGTTTCTTCTGTGTTACAGACGTGTCCAAAAGCTACAAAGAATGATGAGATGAAAGCTCGCAGCATATTTGGATTGGAGTGGTCTGAACCCTTGGTAACCTTTGCACTTTCTTGCGGAAGCTGGTCCTCCCCCGCCGTAAGCTAGTTTCAAATTTCTCTTGTAGTCTAAATTATTAAACCAAAGTCTGACAGTAGGGGTAGTTAGAATTTCATCCTTAGAGAACATTGTTTTTTCGAAACCGAATGCTGGTTCGAATCTTGATTTTGGTCATCATGAAAAAACATTAAATCCAAGGATGACAATCTAATATCCCAAATTTTCAATTATATATGTATTATGTTCTATGGATTTGCTGGGACTGATTTGAAATTTTTTTGTCAAACAAAGGTGAGAGTGTACTCTGCAGCTCATGTTGAAGAAGAGTTGGAAGCAGCAAAAAGGGACTACATACAGGCAGCTGTTGGGATTTCAAGGACAAACAAGTTGATAATCCCCAAGCTGTTGGATTGGTATCTGCTTGACTTTGCAAAGGATTTAGAATCATTGGTTGATTGGATTTGCATGCAGCTACCCAATGAGCTCAGGAATGAGGCTGTTAAAAGCCTTGAAAGAAGGGGAAGAGAGCCCTTTTCACAGTTGGTGCAAATAATGCCATACAATTTCAGCTTCAGGCTGCTCTTACAGCGATGACACATTTTCATTTCAATTTATTTATTTTTGCCCCATTCTTTAGTATGCATAGTTTTTGTGGAACATTGGTTTTGGTGGTGGGTTTGTATATTGATATAGTAAACAAGATGAAATTACATATAACCTAAGCACATGGTTTTTGTGCTTCTTCATTAAAATTGGGTTCGGGGAAGAGAGCAATTCTTTATGTTATGTGCCTTTTCTTTCAAGATAGTGAGGTGAAACTATCGATTAATTCATGATCAAGCTTAGAAAATTTGAAGATGAGAAATTGGTGCTAACAAGGTTAGTTTGATTTTAGATGATCCCACATAATCAACAAGCAATAGTCTAGACTACAGGAGAGGGCACACACAACTATGATGTCGTGGGAATTCGAACATGAGACCTCTGGTATGCAAATCAAGGCTCTTTTTCACTGGGCTAGACCCCATTGGCACCAACCTGTGTCTTTTTGCATCCTCTTCAGTACAATCATTCTTGCATCTCTAATGTAATTTGTGGGTGAAAATAATCCCAGCAGACAAAGCCCCTGGATTCTTTGGCAGTGTCGAGCAACAAAATATTAGCAAACCACGACCACTGACAAAGAGGCCATCTTGGCTCTGACTTTGATCGAGGCATACAAAAAAGTACTTGCGCTACAACGCATTTCACCTTCCAAAGAAGTAAAGAAAAGTAGGAAGACAACGGGATTAACTAGGCAGAGATTTCTTAGGTTGACTGCTTTTGGGTTTACCCTTTGGGCTTTGAGAAACATGAAACAGCTGTAGTGTAGCGAATTTGGCCCATCAAATCAAAATTTAACGGACCCTTTAACATCATGCAATCTAGAATGCATTATCATCCATGCGTGCGCGAACGACTAATAGTACGTAGCATAACTCTTAGGCCGCATTAGCATGTTGGGGGATTGCTCAAGGTAAAATTTTGAGAGAGAGGATGAGATACATTTGGGAAGTCTAATGTATGGACAAGGCGGAACAATTGGAATCTACTTTGTCCCCGACTAAAGGAAAAATCTAGAAACGACTGAGACTGAGTATACAGCATTTGGGCAAGGCTGTATATTAAAGCAAAGCAACGAAACTGCTTTGAAATGCAGGAAAAGAAGAGACCCCCTCTTGCTGCTTTTGAGGCTTCCAAGCCTTCTATTATTTACTTTCAAACCGAATAGAACCAAAATGATAAAAAAGCTTGTCACTTCTGAAAACTTCTATTATTTTGCTAAAGTCATTTGCATTTGTGGGCTGTCACTTCTCAGGCAACTTAAAACATACGTTGGAACATTAAACATTGGATGCTTCACGTGAACCCTATAAGACATGTTCTGTCTCATAGCTCCCTACAAACATGGATATAGCTACACTGATACAGTAAAATAAGTCGAAATAAATGATGTAATTTGTCTGAAATTCACGGTATACAGCCATAACGATGCACTAGTAGAAAACACTGATCAACTAAAATTTTGATTCCATAGCATCCAGGTTTTTACAAAGTCAGCAGGACAGTATCACAAAAATGGGATTATCAATGATGTCCTATGACAAGGTGTGTATAATGACAATAAAAAATGGGGGTAAATACATAAAAGATGAAATAATGATTAGGGCATGACAACAACTCAAACTCAAACTCAAACTCAAACTCAAACACACGAAAATAGCATGATACATTATATACCTAATGGGTTGTGGTACAATCTCTCCTTTTTCTGGGGGAAACCTCCTCTGAATGACATTCCACGGCAGCAACTACTTTGGGGTGAAAGGTACTCTACAATGATTGGGGCTAATTTCCTCAACGTTGTCCCGTACGCTGCATGATGCTGAAGTTTAAACCTCAACCAAACGGGGAAGGAACAGGCCCTGGCCCTGTGAGTGCATCTGATCTCTTTATGCTTCCCATCCCGCATATAATGCAACCCGGCGTTGCAAGAGCAGAAAATTTGGCCCCACAAAGATCACAGACATCATATCCAATCGTTGACAGACGACTAAGTGTGGCGGCACAGAACTGGGAAGGATCTTCAAGTGGATCAATGGACTTGTTGGAGAGACCCCTTTGAACACACATATCAACCAAGCTCCTCAACTCATCCTGCTTACTTGGAGGTGCTTTGGACAGCAGGAGTTCAAGCATCTGCTTTGAATAAGCATAATTCTGGACCTCCATGTTCCGCTTAATCGCAGTTCGGATACAATTTATCCTGTGTTTTGCCAGAAGAGGCAAAGAACCCAGGTGGCGTGAGAGTCTTGCCATCTCATCTTTTGCACTGATTGCACTAGGACCTTGAACTCTTTGCAGCCGCCCAATTTCCTGTAAAATGAAAACCCCAATTAGAGCAAAGTTATATGCTGCTAATTCCAAACCGAAGATTTCAAATCAGTTACGGGATCTTTGCTGACCAGTTATAATATTAAATAAGATATTCCAACCCCACATATGGTGCTTTTGGTCCCTTGGTGTTACTATAATTATTCTTAGAAAACAGTAAATGTATGCAAGAGTGCCAATCTATTGGTAAAGGGTTGTATTGTAATCCTCAAGACATTTTGCCTCAAGAAGTTAGGACATATTCCATCTGTTTTATTTGAGAGCTTGAATGAGAATTATAATACCCCAAGAAGAGTAACTGCTATCTTGTATTGAGCACAGATGGTCCCTTGCGCTTTAATATCAGCTCCGCGAGAGTTATCCTTAGCCAGTGCAAGAAAAGCTTCATCAAAGCAGGACAACGCATCTGAAAGTTGATTCTGCTCAAGGTGAGCAACTCCAGTCTTAAAACATACAGAAGCAGCAGCCCCACGGGGTACCTGTTATGAGGAAAGCCATGAAATGAACATGGATTGAGATGGCAGAGAATTAGATAGTTATGCATGACATGTACATGAATGTATTACCTGTCCAGGACGCACAGAAGATGGTGGAGAAGGAGGTTGCACAGCAGGCTTTCCAGAATCTGCAGTATTTGGAACCCCAAGGGCACTGAGATCTAGAGGTTGCGTGGAAACTGGGAACTGAGTTGATTGAACCTGAGACTGTTGCTGCACTGCAACCTGGCTTGAGGATGGTGGGACACCACCATCAGGAAGTCCATACGACTCGAGTGGAACAGCAGCCTGTTGACTAGCTTGAGGGGGAATACCGCCATCAGGAAGACCAACATTGGCATTGGATGCATTGACCTGGTTAAGAGTTTCCTTGTTGCTTTCAACCCCTTGAGAAGCTTGATCCAATTTTGAAAGATAGGTCCCAGGAGGGGGCAGTGCGGCTGCAACTTGGAGGGATGGTATGGTATTCTGGAAAAAGTCCTCTGGAATAGGTCCAGTTGCAACTCCCTTACCTGTTGTGATAGGAGCTTGCTGTGATACAGTTGCAGGTTGTGTAAACGAGTCCATACCAAACAAATCACCAGGGGCGGAGCCTACACGAGGAGCCATTGATCCACTGTTAGCTGGAGGAGGCGGTTGGGATAACATCTGGCTAAGGTCCTGGGATCCAATAGTCAATGACTTGGTCCTGGTCATGGGTGGACCCAACCCTTCACCAAGTTTGAGCTGCTTCGTGGCTTCTTTGATTTTATTCACATCCACTGCAGTAGAAGCAATTGGCTTGTCTCTTATTCTAATGTGCAACTTTTTAGCTTTTGAAGTTCCCTCTTCATCACTGCTGCTACCATCAGCTGCACCATACATTGTTTTCTTGAATTCTTCTTCAGCTTTAGCCTGTTCATCCGCCGCAGTGGAACTGGCAAACTGTTTGTTAAGTGTTTCCAGACCAATCAACGAATCACCACCAGGAACTCCCTTGGACATATTAGATGTGGATTTAACTGAAGACAACTGATGACCGTTAGGCTTATTGCCACCACCTGTGGGTGTAAAAGCTTTGACCAAGCTATCTTCCCTTACTTCTACGATGTTACCTCTTCCTTTGATTGAACCCAAGTAAACACCAATATGATCAGCTATAATGGATGGGATGGTGCCATCATCAGTCTTCATGTATGGCATCACCTCTGCAGCCAGTTCCCACTGAGGTATAGCCTTCAAGTTAGTTGGGGTTTTGATTTCCCAGTTCCCACCACCCCATTCAGGACCTTTAGGAACCATACTCTCAGCAGCAAAGTTAGCAAAAATTCCTTGAGTCCATCCAGTAGAGCGGACCCTTAAAATCCTTTCACAGTATCGTCTTAGTTCTGAATCAGTGCCATCTTCTTCCAATTTTTGAGCAAGGCGGCGCATGGCACTGGGGTTAAGGTGGCATATAAAGAGGTCGAGCATACTTTCATAATCCGCTATAACTTCAAAGGTTTCTTTTGCACTATCAAACTGACCAAACCTGCAATTTCATCTTATGTTATAAACAAAAGTTGCTTCAATGCAAAAACAAGTAACATGAGAGCCATTTTTTTACAGAAAATAACAAGAGAATCATCAATTCATCAGTTCTTCAGCAATAAGCTGGAACCTGGATAGAGCAATTTGAAGAAATAATAATAATAAAGCCTTAAATGCCATGTGACAGTAGCATAACTCATGAAAGGGGATGTCGACTTTAAGCTCAAGATAATTTCAAGTACATAGGCATTCACTTGCAATAGAATTCTTATCCACCGTCTTTAAGACTGTAAATTGTGTAGTTACCATAAACTATTCCCTTTCTAGTTTCTCGCAGCATTAATAACAAAATAAAATGTATGACAAAGCATGAATATAAGAGAAAGAACTCAGAGAACCAACAACTCCTGCCAAGCATATCAGAGGTTGAACACTTCCTCCAAGCATAGGCACACCTACTATCCCTAATTGGCAAGGTAGGATGCTAAGGATTCCTATTTTAACCAACAAAACAGGGTTAATCACCTATTTTAGGGGCAATTAGGCATCTTGTACTTGGGTATGCTTTAAGTTTTTGATATCTAATACCACCATAACTCCACATTGATAGGAGAGCGAAAGTAGCACTAGGAGCTTTTCTTATATATAACCCATCTATCAACCTTTCATGCATATTTATTTTCATAATTTATCCCTGTTGTGCCACATATGCATTTCTTAATCTAGTGCAACATGCCGAAACTCAAAAAACTCTCAAAAGTAAAGTTCTGATTTTTCCATACCACTCCCTTTACTCATTAAACTTACAACACTTTTTAAATTATGAACAGTC